AACCCGTCAAAACCCTAGCATGTACCCAGTGGCTTCAGACAGAAGACGAAGGCGCGTCGTCATGGATGAGCGGCGGAGGCCGTCCACCAACGATCTCGGACGACCGCTAAGGGAGCTTCAACGGTGAGATGGGACGGAGGCCGAGGAAGAGAGATCGAGCGATCTGGGGATCTGATATTCGTGCGATTTAACATAAACCTATAATTAGGATGATCTTTGTAAACAATATGTTACTAATAGTACTCTTTTTTAGTTTGTTTTCTTATTCATCTTCTAAACATAAACTTATAATTAGGATGATCTTTGTAAACAATTTGTTACTAATTGTACTCTTTTTTAGTTAGTTTCTTATTCATTTCTAAACAAAATTGAATTAGCCTCATCCCCAAAAAAGCATCTATCTGATAATTTATGTTAGGTACCAAATTGTTTAAAATAATGTTGGTATAAACTTACATATATTTTTGTCCAAACTGAACCATTTGTCCCAATTTAATTCTATGTGTGACTCCACAATTGTGAAGCCATAGAGGGTGTAGCCGTCTTCCACGTAGGCACACCGCGCACATCTAATTTTAGACACCACATTTGTTTATAAAAATTAAAACCTAAAAAACAATCTCATTACATGTGAAATCGGCCTTTAAAGTGAAAAATGGCACTCTGCGTACGCTAGCAAGCACCAAACGGGCAGGCAAACCATCAATACCAATGTGGCACAGTACTAATATACGCCGCCCGTATATCATGTACCAATTACCAGTATATTACGCCAGCCTCTTCTTTTTCATTGACAACTGTTTTTTTTTTTTTAGCTGTTATTATTATATATATTATATTATTATTATATTATTATCATCAAATTGACGGAGAAAAAGGCTTTAAATAGAGGTAAAATAAATAAAAAAATAAAAAATTGAGGCTTGAAAATTCGAAGGGCCAGCTGAGATTAGATAGAAACCCCCATTACAGGCCTGCTATTATATATATATATATATATATATACACACACACACACACGCAGCCCCCACTTTTGCACAGAGTGGGAAGTGAAAGTGCGTGTTTTTATCTGATGATTTAAAGAGGAAACTCTTTCGTAAAAATCTTGTAATTCTGCGTATTGGGGAACTGTGTTTTCTACAGTCTGTGATTCTTCATTCGGTCTTCAAATTTTGGGGGAGATTGTGTTGTGTTTGAGGGCATCAAAAGGGAATCTTGGTGAGGACCCAGTTGAAAATTTTACTCAAGAAATTTAATGGGTATGTCTGGTTTATATTTTTCTCATGATTTTGTGAATTATTTTCTTGGTGCTTTTTCTGGTTTGATGCTTTGCTGTTATGGGGTTGGTGATTGTATGAGTGCTCTGTGTGTGTGTTTGTGTGTGTGTGTGTGAATTTTATTGTTGGGCTCCAGCCTGTAATTTGGTATGAGGTCCTTTCATGGCTTTCACACCTTCCAGTGTGTGTGTGTGTGTGTTTCTTTTTGAATACTGTGTTTTTTTTTTCCTGTAATATTGGCTTTGAGTCGGTGACTGCCACAGTACCACAGAACCCCACCATGTCTATCCCCACACAGAGGTGGAAAAACAACAAGCACAATTGCTTTTCTGTTTGTTCTTTTTTTTTTTTTTTTTTTTTTTGAAGCTTTTTGGGTAAAGCCTTCTTATTTGTCTGCCCCTTTGGATGATCATTCTAGATTTGCAATCCCATCCCAAATCTAGTGCTTTTTTGTTGTTATTTCTATTTTTTTTACCTTTGTTCCCTTTTCTGGATTGTTATCCACAGTCTTGGTATCCTCTGTCCTCTGATTGGTTCTTGGGACAGACAACAACCTCTGTGTGTCTTAGTACTTCATAGCTGAACCAGAAAAATTTAAGAAAAAACATAAAATTTTTAACTAACAAATTTGCAATTCTTGTTCAGAAGCTTCTTCAGTGAGTTATTCAGGGAGCATGGATGATGAGTATGAGAAATTAATAAGGAGAATGCACCCTCCAAGGTACATATATATATATATATATATATATATGTATGTATTCACAAATCTATACATAAATATGTACTTGTTTACTTTTGTGTTCTGAATAATTTTTAACATATCTTCAATTTTCTCAGGGTGGTTATTGATAATGATTCTTGCAAAAATGCAACTGTCATTCAGGTGTGCAAAATTTTCCCCTGTGTGTTTGTTTATTTGTTTGTTTTACATGTTCTGTTGAGTTGTAATGATCCTATGTTGACATGATTATTCCTGTCTGGTGCAGGTGGACAGTGCCAACAAACAAGGCATTCTACTTGAAGTTGTTCAAGTCCTTACAGATCTCAATCTTGTGGTCACCAAAGCCTACATCTGCTCCGATGGAGGATGGTTCATGGATGGTACACTAATAAACACTACATTTTCATTCGAACCATCCGATAGCTACTAATTTTATGCAATAATGTCTAACCTTCACTTTATCCCCCTTTGAACTAGTTTTCAATGTCACCGACCAAGACGGAAACAAAATTACCGACGAGGGCATTCTCGATTACATCCAAAAGGTGAAAAGGCTGAATACATTTTTTCCTTCAATGAGTGGAAAAAATGTGATCTGTTCTGTTTCTTTTGTTTTTTCAGAAAGAAAAGTTAACTTAACACCCAATTGTTCGTAATTTTTCATTCGGCAGTCGCTTGGTCCCGACTCGTGCTTTGCATCCTCGAGGCGGAGGTCGGTTGGGCTGACCCCCGGTGGGGACCACACGTCGATCGAGCTCATCGGAGCCGACCGGCCGGGACTACTCTCGGAGGTGAGCGCCGTGCTGACTCACCTCAAGTGTAATGTGGTGAGTGCCGAGGTGTGGACCCACAACACTCGGGCTGCCTCGGTTATGCGGGTCACGGACGAGGTATCCGGGGGCCCGATCCACGATCCTGACAGGCTGGCGACTATTCGCCGCCTTCTGTGTAATGTGCTTAAAGGGAGCAATAAGTCGAGGGATGCTAAGACAGCTGTCTCGTGCGGGGCCACACACGCCGAGAGGCGGCTCCACCAGATGATGTTTGATGACCGGGATTACGATAGGACAGATGATGATGTTGATGATGGGGAAGGAAGGGAGATTACTAGGCCTATGGTGAATGTTGTTAATTGGCAGGATAAGGATTACTCGGTGGTCACTGTTAGGTGCAAGGATCGGCCGAAGCTTTTATTCGATATCGTTTGCACGTTGACTGATATGCAGTACGTAGTGTTCCATGGGAATGTGGATACCGAGGGCCTGCAGGCTTATCAGGTATTATTTTCGACGCTCCTCAAGATAAAGACAGAATCATTTGTATGTGTACGATGTGGTCTCATTTTTTTTTTTTTTTTGAAGGAATACTGCATAAGGCATATTGATGGGTCTCCGGTGAAATCCGATGCAGAGAGGCAAAGGGTAATCCAGTGTCTTGAAGCTGCCATACAAAGACGAGTGTCTGAAGTACGTATTAAACGAAGAAATATCGAATCTCAGTTTTTCAGTGCCTCTGATTTTCATGTAGCAACTCAGTTACTTTAAAACGTAAATATATGAATAAACAAAGATAATAACACTCTGTGTTGAATGACTTGCTTTGCAGCCAGTGATATTTTGACCAAATGTCTGCTTGGTATACATTCAATGATCATCTTTAAAAAAAAAAAAAATTGGAACTCTTTTGTTCATGTTCCTCAATCTGTTCACATGCACTTGTCTCAGATTTAGATACCAATATTCTTTTATGGTTTTTTTGACTATAGACTGTTGTTTATTTTTATCTGATAATAGGGCTTGAAGCTAGAACTATGCACGACCGATAGAGTCGGGCTTTTATCTGACGTGACAAGAATTTTCCGGGAAAGCAGCCTGACCGTAACTCGTGCTGAGGTGTCAACAAGAGCCGGCAAAGCTGTCAACACATTCTACGTGCGCGACGCCTCAGGATATCCGGTGGACCCCAAAATCATCGACTCCATTCGCAAAACCATCGGTCAAACAATACTCCGGGTCAAAGGGGCACCCGAGGAGTCAAATCAAGAATCGTCACCCACCCGGTTTCTGTTCGGTGGCCTTTTCAAGTCGAGGTCTTTCTGCAATTTCGGTTCGGTTAAGTCGTATTCATGAAATCATCTCGCAGATTATCGTGTTTCGTTGCTTTTTTCCTTTTTTTTGGTGTATATTCTGAACTCTCTCCTCTCCTCTTTTAAGATTAGTTTTCCAAGGTTGTAAATAAGAAAGAACATTTCTGCTTTGTGGGTGATTAGTGAAAAGAATTTCACTATTTTAAGTTTGAGTTTGATTGATGTTTGTAGTTTGTAGAGAATAAGTTGTGGTTGTATGTGGTTTTGGGAGCCAAATAGGTATCTTTTTGGAGATTTTGAATTGACTAGGGAGTTTTTGGACAAATCTTGAAAGGTCAAGGATTCGTTGTAATAAATATGAATAAATAAATAAATAGATAAAGTTTTAGGGCAAATGTTGCAAAAAAAAAAAAAAAAAA